CCGACATATGTCGAGTTGACAAAACACCTGATGTGGTGGGCGTCGTGCACTACCGGCGCGTACACTCGCGACCACTCCTGGAACTCGTCCATGAATTGGCACCGACACGACCACAGATTGTTGGCCAGATATATACCGGTGAGTTTGGTGTTGTGATTGAATGTCCACATCTGGTACTCGACGATGGAGTTGTACTCCAAGTGCAGCACCTGTAGGCTCTTCAAGTGGATGAACGTGTTGTTGTTGATGGTGGCGATCCGGTTGTGATGCAGGTGCAGCTCTTTCAGATAGTGCAGCGAATCAAACTCGTAGCCGTGAAGGGTGTGCAGCTCGTTGTGCTCCAGATGAAGCACTTCCAGGTAGACCAGACCGTTGAACGTACGGTTGGATATCTGATGGATGCGCGAGTGGTTAAGGTATAGCTGTTTCATATTCTTGCGGCCGATGAACGTATGGCTCGTCAGAGTGTAGATATCGTTGCCGTCTAAGTATAGTGCGGTCACATCCATGGGTATGCGGGCGGGTATGGCCTGGTATTGGCGGGCGGAACAGTCGACCACGTTGGTGTTCCACGTCTGGTCGTAGTAGCATGTGCAATTCTCGGGGCACATCATTTCGCAATCGCAGGCATCGAAATCGCAACAATGGCACAGGGCGAAACAGTGCGATTTGTACTTGCACAAAAAGTTGCTAGAGTTAGCCCGGGTGAGTGGCACGGGTAGTTGATCGTGCCGCACAAATGGCAACTGACACATCACTTGCTCCAGGTCCACAATGCGCGGGTACTGACGGGTGGCCGTGTCCAACGAGTTGATCCGTTGCAACCACTCCATCGTACAGTCGCAGTGGTATGGATTGGACGACACGTAAAACTCCGGCGGCTGTTTGCCCGGCGCTGTGGCGGCGGTCACAGGTTTCAGTCGGAATGAGTTGGTGTCCAGTGTCTGGAGAGAGTTGTTGCGGAGGTCGACAAACGTGATGTTGTGTTTGGCCACGAATGAGAACTGATGCACAACTCGGATGCGATTGTCGGCCAATGAGATGCGCCGAATGCGGTTGGGAATGGCTGAGCCCGAGATCTCTTTGATCTGATTGTGTGACACATCGAACTCCTCGAGCTGTAGAGCCGACTCGAGCTCGAAGTAGTTGCCGAGCGACTCGATCTCGTTGTGATGGATGTCCAGTCGGCGCAACGATCGCGGTATTAGGGCGTAATCGAACCAGGTGATCCGATTGTGGGACACATTGAGATACTCGAGGTTGTTTAGGTTCATAAACAGGCCGTTAATGTCGACCAAGAAGTTATTCTCGACGTTAATGCGCTTGAGTGTCGGGGCGTCATCGAAAACACCATGATCCAAACTGCCGATACGGTTCCAGCCGAGATCCAGATGTTGCAACGCTGGCAACTCTTTCAACGCACCCCGGGTCAAATTGGTCAGCTCGTTGCCGGCCAGCCGTAGCACTTGCAGGTGTTGATGGCCGCCGCCTCCCGGGCCGCCAAAAGTCGAGTTGCGAATCACTTTCAGGCCGTTATCGTTCAGATGGAGGGTCTTCAGCGACCGGAGGGCGCCGATAGCTACGGGCACTTCGGCCAAGAGGTTACCGTTGAGATGAAGGCTCTGAAGGTTTGTACAGTTCCGGAAGGCATTGTCGTCCACGCGGTTGATCTCGTTCTCGGCCAGCGATAGGTCTGACAGGACGTACAGGCCGTTGAAGGTGAAGGGGCCGACCTGTTTGAGCCGATTCTGTCTCAAGACCAGTGTGTGAAGGTTGTAGAGCGAGGCGAACGAGTTGTCACCGATCAGATCGATCTCGTTGTGGTTGAGGTACAGTATCTGCAGTGAGTACTGGTTCTGGAAAGTGCTGGCGTTCACAGCCCGCAGCCGATTGTGGCCCAAGTCTAACACTACGACACGGATCAGGTCGGCGAATGTCTCGGGGAAGATCCACTCGGAGCCGATCAGGTTGTGGCTCACGTCCAGTATCAACAGTTTGGAGAGACCGGAGAACAGTCCGGCCGGCAGTACTGTCAACGAGTTGTTCCTCAGGTGCAGCTCTTTGAGCTCTTCCGACTCGCGAAAAGTACGGCCCGGTATTGTCTGCAACTGATTGTTGGACAGGTCTATGCGGTGCAACTTCTTGA